GACTACGACGACGACGACGACGACCACGACGACGACGACGACGACGACGACGACGACGACGACGACGACGACCACCACCACGACGACCGCGACGACTGCGACGGCGGCGGCGCCCTTTTTCCGACGCGCGCGGCCCGACAAGGGCCGGGAGGGCGGCCAGGCACCAGCGGCCAGGCCAGAGCGGGGGGGGAGCATGGCGGAGAGGCAAGCAGTGGCTAAGCGTCCCAGTTCGCCTGTAGGCCTACTGAAGAATGTTTTAAGAACACTTTGTGGTCGGCGCGAGATGTTCTCAGAACAGTTCTGGCTGAGGCTGTCTTGTTGTACCACATCGGGCTTATGTTCTGAGAACATTGTTTTTGTTATTCGAACATTTTTGGGTTCTAAGGAGATTTTGTGGTGAGCCTATAGGAATGCCGGGACGGTCGTCCCTGCTCCAGAGAGGACGAGGAGCACCCAAGGACTGCCCCGAGGCGACCGCGTCGGGAAAGCTGCCTCTGCTGCTACCTCGGGGGGACTTTTCGATGGAGTGGCCGCCCTTCGGATAGACGCTGGAGAACCCGCTGATCGATCTCAAGGGCGGGGCCCCACCCTTCCACCCTTGCACTCTTTCTCCGGGTCCTGGATATGGCCGCTCCCCTCCTTTGCCCTGCAGCCGAGGAGGAGGAGGAGAAGCAGAAGCGGCAGGAGAGGGGGGAGAGAGAAGGATAAGGAGGAGGAGAGGGGGGTGAAAGAGAGGAGAAAGGAGAAGGGAGGGGGAGAGGAGTGAGGAGACAGGGCAGGAGGGAGGAGGGAGAAGTAGAGCAGGAGGAGAGAAGGAGCAGGAAGACAGGAGGAGGAGGAGAGAAGGAGGAGGGGAAGGAGGAGAGAAGAAGGAGGAGGAGCAGATGAGGGGAGGAGGAGGAGCAGGAGGAGGAGGAGGTGGAGGAGTGAGGAGAAGGAGGAGGAGGAGAGAGGAGGAGGAGAGGAGGAGGAGGAGGAGGAGGAGGGAGGAGGAGGAGAGGAAGGGAGGGGAGGAGGAGAGGAGAGGAGGAAGGAAGAGGGAGGGAGGGAGGGTAGGGAGAAGGGGGGAGAATGAAGGATAGGAGGGAGAAGGGAGGGAGGGAGGGAGGGAGGGAGGGAGGGAGGGAGGGAGAAGGAAGGAAGGAAGGAAGGAAAGAAGGAAGGAAGAGCAAGAGGAGCAGAAAGAGGAGGAGCGGCAGCAGCAGAAGGACCAGCAGCAGCACCCAGAAGCCCTGCTGCCCGTCCCCAACAAAGGGGGGAAGTGGCGGGGGTTCAGGGCGACCTCGGGCCAAAGAGAAGTGTCAGGGGGCCTCCCCCTCTTCTTCCCCCCGCTCCTCCTCTCCTCCTCCTACTACTCTTTCCTCCTCCCTCGCTACTCCTCCTCCCTCCTTCCTACTCCTCGTTCTCCTCCTCTCCTCCTCCTCTCCTCCTCCTCCTCCTCCTCCTCCTCCTCCTCCTCCCCCACCCTCTGATCCTTCTCCATCCTTGTTCCCTCCTCCATCATCTCTCCTCTTGCTACTGATGGAATTGCTGTTGCTGCTCCTGATGCTCCTCCTCCTCATCATCGTCATCATCATCATCATCACCACCACCACCACCACCACCATCATCATCATCATCATCATCATCATCATCATCATCATCATCATCATCATCATCATCATCATCATCATCAAGCTCATCATCATCATCATCATCATCATCATCATCATCATCATCATCATCATCATCATCATCATCATCATCATCGTCATCATCAGCATCATCATCATCATCATCAGCATCAGCATCAGCGTCATCATCATCATAATCATCATCATCATCAGCATCAACATCGTCATCATCATCATCATCGCAGCATCAATGACAACACCAGCATCGTCATCAACATAACCAAAAACGCATCCGCATACTCATCCCCGTCCTCATCCTTTCCACCATACGTATAAGCCGCATCCTCGTCATCATCCGCCGCATCCTCGTCATCACCATCGCCATCATCATCATCATCATCATCATCATCATCATCATCATCATCATCATCATCATCATCATCATCATCATCGTGAACAGCAGCAGCAGCATCAGCATCGTCGCCGTCGTCGTCGTCGGCGCCGTCACCATCATCAGCATCATTATTATCATCAGCAGCAGCAGGAACAGGATCCTCACCACCATCATCATCATCATCATCAATCTCAGCATCGCCATCATCATACTCATCATCAGCAGCATCATCATGATCATCAGCTCCATCATCATCATAAACCTCATCGTAATCATCACCATCATCATCATCAGCATCATCATCATCATCACCATCATCATCATCATCAACGGCACCATCCTCATCAACAGCATTACATCATCAACAGCAGCAGCATCAGCAGCAGCATCAGCATCATCATGGTGATGGTAAGCATCATCAGCAACAGCATCATCAACATCATCAGCATCATCAACATTGTTCTTGTCCGTCTCTAACCCCTCCTCATCATGCCTGTCTGCATCCTCGATTAGTAGGGTCATTCCCCGTATCAGTGTAATTCCTGCCTCCTTCTCCTCCTGCTTTCTGCTGGTCACAGCCACGTCACCTCGTCTCCTTCCTCATGCTCGCCCCCTCCTATAGATTCTCTCCGCTTGCGATGGTTGTTCAGCCTGCCCCTCATCCTCCAAGTCCTCCCCCTCCAAATCCACATACTCATCCTACTTCTCTCACCTCCTCATCCTCCTGACCCTCTTTATCATCGCCTCCACCCCCCAGATTATCAAAACCAACATGATCATGATCACACTCACAAATATCATCATCAACAACAGCATCATCGTCATCGACGTCGTCATCGTCATCATCATCACCATCCTCAGAATCATCATTATCATCGTCATCGTCACCATCATCATCCGTATACCCAACATCATCAGCAGCAACACCATCGTCGTCATCAGAATCATCAGCATCGGTAACATCACCCGCCTCATCCTCATCCTCCTCCTCCTCCCCGTCACCATCCACATTGTCGTCATCGCCGTCATAAACAGCATCATCACCATGATCATCAGCATCATCATCAGCATCACTATCAGCATCGACACCATCACCGACACTATCACCAGCACCGCCATCACCAACATAAACATCATCATCACCAGCATCATCAACATCATCATCACCAGCAACGGCATCGTCAGCATCATCAACATCGGCATCGTCATCGATATCGTCATCACCGTGGACATTCATCATCATCAGCAGCATCAGCATCGCCATCGTCATCGTCATAATCAGGATCAGCATGATCACTAGTATCAGCACCATCATCATCAGCATCATCATCATTATCACCAGCAGCATCATCAACATCAGCATCAGCATCAGCATCACCATCATCATCATCATCATCATCAGCATCATCATCATCATCCCAACCATCCTGCTCCTCCCCTTCATCCTCTACTTCATCATCAACATCATCACCTTCCTCCCCCTCCTCGTCCTCCTCCCCCTCCTCGTCCTCCTCCCCCTCCTCGTCATCCCTTTCCCCCGCTCCCTGCTCCCTCCTATTTCCTCAGCCCTCCTTTTTTGTCTATCCGCTCCGCACTCCCTATCCCTTCTCCTCATCGTCCTCCTCATCTTCATCATCACCACCGTCACCAAAACCACGACCACGACCATCAACATAACAGTCACCATCATCAACATGAGCATCAGCATCAGCATCAGCGTCAGCATCAGCACCAGCATCATCAGCATCATCAGCATCATCAGCATCATCATGAGCAGCAGCAGCAGCAGCATCAGCAGTATCATCATCATTTGCATCATCAGCATCATCATCATCAGCATCATCATCATCATCATCATCATCATCATCATCATCATCATCATCATCATCATCATCATCATCATGAGCAGCAGCAGCGTCATCATCGGCAGCCCCAGCATCATCAGCAGCAGCAGCAGCATCAGCATCCTCCTTCCTGGTCCACATCCTGATGCGGATTCTTCTCTCATCTAAATATACGTCGTCTGCATCAACATCAGCATAACCATCAGCACCAACATTATAATCACCATCATCGTCAACAAAATCAACACCATGATCAATTTCGTCATGCTCGTCATCATCATCATCATCATCATCATCATCATCATCATCATCATCATCATCATCATCATCAGCATCATCATCATCATCATTATCATCCTCATCAACATCAGCAACAACATCAACATCAGCCTAAGCATCATTAATGTCAGAGACAGAGCCGTCATCGGAAGCATCAGCAGCATCATCATCACAGCCACCACCACGACCATCATCATCAGCAGCATCATCATAATCATAAACATTCGTCATCATCATCAGCTGCATCAGCATCATCGGCAACGACATCGGCTTCGTCCTCGTCCTCGTCATCGTCATCATCATCCTCAGTAGCAGCATGAACATCATCATTAGCAGCATCATCATCATCATCTGCATCATCATCATCAGCATCATCATCAGCACCATCATCAGTATCAGTATCATTATCATCATCATCATCATCATCATCATCATCAGCAGCAGCATCATCATCATCAGCATCAGCATCAGCATCAGCATCATCATCATCATGATCATCATCATCAGCAGCATCATCATCAATGTCATCGATACCGGCACCATCGTCGTCATAATCATCACCACCAGCATCATCTATATCAGCAGCAGTATGATCATTCGTGTGGTAGCCCCTCTTCCCCTCCTCCTCCTCATTCCCCCCCCTCCCTCCTCCCTCCTCCCTCCTCCTCCCCCCTCCCGCCTCCCTCCTCCCTCCTCCCTCCTCATTCCCCCTCCTCCCTCCTCCCTCCCACCTCCTCCTACCCCCTCCCTCCTCCCCCTCTTCCCTCCCCCCTCATCCTCCGCCTCCGCTTCCTCATCCACCCCTCCAAGGAAACGGGCAGGAGGCGGAGGAGAGCGCGCTCAGCCTCCCCCCGCCGAACCGGTGGCACCTCAGGCCTCGACGGCGGCGCCCTTGAGCACGGCTGGCTCGTCGCTCCACCTCGCGGCGTCGCCGTCGGTCGTCGACCGCCTCCGCCTCCAACGCCTCCTCCTCTCCTCGTCCCAATCATCCTGATCCTCATCCTCACGCTCTTCCTTCCTTCCTTCCTTCCTTCCTTCCTTCTCCTCCTCCTCCTCCAACTTCTCATAACTTCTCATAACTTCTCATGCGCCTCCCCTCCTTTCCCGCCTCCACATCCTCCGACCCGTCAGCATCCACTCCGCCTCAAGCCCAACCCCCTCGTCCTCGTCCTCGTCCTCGTCCCCCTCCTGCTCCTCATCCTCGGTCGGTCGGTCGGCGAAGAGGCAACAGGGTCGATGCATACCCAGCTTAAGGAAGAGAGGAGGTGCGGGGCATGTCCTCCTCCTGAGGAGGATGAGTGTTCTTACACGCCCCGCACCTCCATCTCCCTGGGGAGGAGTAGTAGTGTAAGAACCCTCCTCCTCCTCCTCCTCCTCCTCCTCCTCCTCCTCCTCCTCGTCCTCCTCCTCCTGAGGAGGAGTCTTCCCCCTCCTCGTGATCATCACCTCCAGGCAGCAGCATCAGCATCATCCACACCACCATCAAGAGCAACAACAGTCACAGCAATAACAAGGCAACGACTGTTTGATGGCCGAGGGGACACCACCTCCCCGTCGTCCCTCAGTAAGGGTGTGATGGCGTTCTGAGTTCTTCCCTCCCCCCAGGGAGGGAAAGGGTGGGGAGCACAGAATCGTATCGCGTCACACCTCCTCCCATCTGCTCCCATCCTCCTCATCCTCGTCTTCATCCTCCTCATCGCCATCATCAGCAGCAGCAGCAGTAGCAGCGTCACCACAATCTTCAACAGCTGCATTTTCACAGTCATACCTATACGACCACCCTTCGGGTGATAAGGAGGTGAGGGGGGGAGGGACCAACGTCGCACTCGATCGATCTCACTATCGAACTGACTATCGATTCCATTTCAATTGATCGATCTCACAATCGATCTGACTATCGATCTCACGATCGAACTCACTATCGATTTCATTATCGAGCTCACAGTCGGTCTCACTATCGATATCACTACAAGTACCCCAATCGATCTCACAATCGATCTCACATTCGGTCTCACTATCGATCTCGCTATCGAACTCACTATCGATCTCACTATTGATCTCACATTCGGTCTCACTATCGATCTCACTATCGATATCACCATCGATCTCACAATCGATCTCACATTCGGTCTCACTATCGATCTCACTATCGGTCTCACTATCGATCGCATTATCGATCTCACATCCGGTCTCACTATCGATCTCACGATCGATCTCAATATCGATCTCACACTCGGTCTCACTATCGGTCTCACTATCGAGCTCACTATCAATCTCACTATCGATCTCAATCGATCGACCTTACTATCGATGTGAATATCGATCCAACAATCGATCTCACTATCGACCTCAATCGATCTCACATTCGGTTTCACGATCGATCTCACTATCGCTATCACAATCGATCTCACAATCGAGCTCACATTCGGTCTCACTATCGATCTCACAATCGATCTGACACTCGGTTTCACTATCGATATCACTATCGATATCACAATCGATCTCACTATCGATGTCACTAGCGATCTCACTATCGATCTCATTATCGACCTCACTATCGATCGCACGATTGATCTCACAATCGATCTCACATTCGGCCTCACTATCGATATGACTATCGATACCACTATCGATATCACTATCGATCTCACTATCGATCTGCCTATCGATCTGACTATCGATCTCACTATCGATCTCCCTATCGATCTCACTATCGATCTCACGGTTGATCTCACTATCGATCTTACGACGGGACACCGACGGGACACCGAGGGGACACCGACGGGACACCGACGGGACACCAGCGGGACACCAGCGGGACACCGGCGGGGCACCGTTTGCCGGAAGGGAGTCTTTTGGTCCGGCCGCGCCTCAGCCACACGGGACACCAGCGGGACACCGGCGGGACACCGGCGCGGCACCGTTTGCTGGAAGGGGGTCTTCTGGTCCGGCCGCGCCTCAGCCACAGGAGACTTTCCTCTCGCCCGCCCGCGCAGCTTCGCCTCGTCCGCACGCACGGCACGCACGAACACGAAACCGAAATCGATTTCCCGGTACGGGGGCTCTCCGCTCCACTTCGATCTCACCACCTCACCTCCGATTGAGCTGAAGCATCATCACCAAAAATCATCACCATCATCCCCATCACCATCACCATCACCGTCATCATCATCATCATCATCATCATCATCATCATCATCATCATCGAAAACGTAATCATCAGGTTCATCATCATCATCATCATCAGCATCATCATCATCCCAATCATCATCAGCATCATCGTCATCGGCATCATCAGCATCCCCATCACCCCCATCGTCACCATCAGCATCATCATCAACAACACCGACATCGACATCATCAGCATCATCATCAGCATCATCAGCATCAGCGGCATCATCGTCATCATCATTATCATCATCAAGATCAGTATCATCATCGTCGTCATCGTCAACACCATCACCGTCACCATCGTCAGCATCATCATACTCATCATCATCATCAGCATCAGCATCAGCATGAACATCATCATCGACAGCGTCATCGTCAGCATCACCATCGTCATCATCAGTATCATCAGCATCAGCATCAGCATCATCGTCGTCAGCCTCACCGTCACCATCATCGTCATCATGTTATCATCAGCAGTTTCATCAAATTCAGCATAATCATCCTCAACATCATCATCATCAGTACCATCATCAGCAGCATCGTAAGCATCATCATCATCAGCATCACCATCACCACCATCGTCATCACCATCGTTATCGCCGCTGTCATGATCATCATCACCATCATCATCAGCATTATCATCATTTGACTTGTGAAGTGGCACCTTTTGCTCTGAACTCGAACTTGAGCCCCACATGCCTGAGGCTCTTCCAATCTGAGATAAAGAATAGATACTACACTTCCTGTATCACATGCTGTGCAGGAGTCACGCCGCCCCGGAGCGGCCGAGACGAGTGAATGCTCCTGCCGCCACTGCGCGCGAGCCTCTCGCTCGCGCCTCAGATGCACATGATAGGCGCGTCGCGCCCGTACTGAAAAGTAGCGGAGTGTGGTCCACGGATCGTCGAATTCATGCTCTCGGTGCCTGCTCACTGCGCCGTTGCCCCGCTTCGTACATGTAGCGGTGCATATCTTTGACGGGCAGCTGCTTTGTCATGATGTCCGCTGGGTTCGCAGTCCCAGCAATCTTCAAGAGCTTGAGCGTCTTCCCCGAGATTTGCTCTTGCAACCATAGATACCTCGTACATATATGTCTCATCTTCCCGAGCCCGCGTCTCGATGCGAAACTGCGGCCCGAGCTCGAGTCCGTGTGAACCGTGACGCCAAGCTCGCGGCCGAGGTCGCGGAAGTAGCTCCTGGTGCCCAGCGCATACGCGGCGCCCTTGGTGGCCGCATAGTATTCCGCCTCAGCGCTGGATAGTGCCGTGATCGATTGCAGTGTACTGCTGCTCCTCAGCAGGTGGGAACCCCTGAACAGTAGCATGCCGGAAGTGCTTCTCCGGTCCTTGAGGCTCCCAGCCCAGTCAGAGTCGACATAGCACTCAATGTCACCGTGCTCCTGGGCCTTGTAAATCAGCTTCTCGTAGGGCGCACCACGGAGGTACCGCACAAGCCTCTTCAACTCGGTAAGATGTCCCTCACGCGGTGCTGCCATGTGCTGCGCCAAGCACTTGACGGACTCGGTGATGTCTATGCGGTCCTGGTCCACATACTTTAACCTCATCGTCGCCGATCTGTACTTGGTGGCCTCTGCTGGGCTGAGCAGAGGACTGGTCTCGTGGGCCTGCACCTCTTCCAGGGCAAGCTTCACCCTGGGCGTGGTCACGATACTGCATTTCTCCAGGCCCAACTCCTTCAGCAACTTCTCCACGTGCCTCTTGTCCGCCTCGAGCTCCACGCACTGCTCGACGTCGTTGATCCTCACCTCCCGGTTGAGGATGGCCATGATCTTGTCGTCCTTCTCCGCGAAGCCAATGATCGCGCCGCACTTCACGTCGAACTTCTCACTCAGAATCCCTTTGAACTCCTCGACGTTGTTCCTCTTGCATAGCACCACGAAGTCGTCGCCGTGGCATAATCCTTTGTACTTCTCGTTTGCGAATAGAGCTCTCGATGCCGTGCCAACGCGAACCTTGTGCTTCTCCAGCTGGCCCGCCCATGTCTCGCCCCACAGGTGGGCCGCATCCTCGGTCCCGTACATAGCCTTCAGCATCTTCGCGACGTGCCCCTCCTTCTCGAAGCCTTCTGGCAGCGTCGCGTACACCTCCCTGTTGTTCTGCTCTGCCGAGAAGTGCGCTCGAGAGATGTCGAATGTTGCCATCACGAAGTCCTTGATGTCGTGCCCGTCGTTCAACGTCATCCACTCACTGATCAGCATCTTGAGGCTCTCAATCGGGGGCATGGCACTGAAGACCTCCGCCGGGTCGAGCCTATCCTCGACCTTCTTGGCACGCTTGATCTCCCTGCAAACCAGCCTCGAGCGATACTTTCCAGTCACCTTGCGGGTATCAATCCATCTCATCGTCAGCGGCTTGCCTTGCTTCTCATAACACTCTGCCTCGGGAACAGTCTTGAACACCTTCATGTCTTTCACCCACTGCATCTCCTCCTGCCTGGCTTTCCTGACCTCCTTCGCGTCGAGCTCCTCCTGGTTGATGTCGTCCCAGGCCTTCTCGACCTCCTCGTAGCTCTCCGGCTCGTCCCACCAGAGCGTCTTGTCCGGCACCGGCCCCGCGTCGAAGCTATGCTGGACGTACTCGTCATTGTCGTGCGCGAGCTGGCGCTGGAACGCTCGTAGCACTCCCCGAACCAGCTCCGGTGTATAGCTGGCCGCCGCCTTCACGCGCTCACCTCCTATCAAGTGCAAGTGCCGGTGCATCGGGCCTCCTCGGTGGTTCGCGCATACCC